GGTACGTTTCAAGATGACAGGAGCAGGGGGGACTCGCCCCCTGCATGAATGTAGCGGCAAGATTCAAGTTGTGTCCGTGTCCTCCATCCGTGGTGCACAAGCCCCAGCGAAACGGCATCTGGTCTGCTCTCAGGTTACCTTGCTGCTCTGACTCTCCTCCAGAACCCAGACAGGGTTGTTTCTGTTGAAGCTGTCAGCCCCCGAAGGTATTAAGAAAGATACTGAGGCCGTAGAACAGAAGGTGGGAAGAGGGGCAGTTTTCCACCAGAAAAGTGACCGAACACTGGATAGAACGAGTGGCAGGGAGAAGGTGAAGTCCTGGCTTCACGTCTAAGTTAGTTGCTGAAATCTGTGAGAGGCCCCGCCACTGGTCACATCTCCTTCAACAGCACTCTAACGAGGAGGATTCTGATCCTACAGCTGCTGCCTGTGCCTGCCAGGTTTCACCCAGTCAGGCTGAGGAGCAAGACCAGCTTGGAGGACCTTTGCATCAGGGAGGACAGTGCAGGTACTTCTGATTCTCAGGGCCGATGGCTCTTTGGTGAAAACCTCAAAAGATCACGTTTGACATAATCTTGTTTACCCCCAAACTTCTGAACAAGGGCTGTCAAAAGAGTGACTGTCACACAGATTAAGTTAATTAAAGCTACACGAAGAAATAAAACCGAACCAGATGATCCAAGGTCAGCATGTGCACGTTCTCAACTGTGGCATTTCGGCTAGAGGAAAACACTAGGCCACGTTGACGTCTGCTGCCAACAGATGTGTTCTCTTGGGAATAAATGCCCCACTCGTGCTCTGCCGGCACCCAGTCTGTTACCGAGTTGTTGGGAGATCTGGCAAGGGCAGTGCTATCTGTTAATATCTGAAGGTGGGAGTGTTCAGGGAGTTGGCTGAAAGGCTTGCAAGACTAGATCTGATCGTACCCACCCACGCTAATTAACACATTACATAAAAGTACAACAAGTTTCTCTCTGCAAACACCAGAACCACTTGCCCAGGCACTTTCCGTGAAGCTCTAGAACTACAGGGATGGACTTGGTCACTTTTAACCCCAACAGAACAATGGATGAGTAGGTAGGGGATGGTTCCCACTTTCAGGGCTCACTTTGCCTTCATCCTGCTAAAAACACGCCACCAGCAAGGATAAAGCAGGAAGGACCTTCTTAAAGTTCACGAAGGGTGCATGAGGGAACATGATTTTTCTTTTTGCTCATCAAAACCAAAATCAAATACCGAACATGAAGAATCAGACCCACCTACAAAGGACTCCTCCTCTCCCTGCCCTGCCTTGCTAATTCTGAACATTACTTTGTACAAACACCAAGACACCTGGAACTGAAAAATCCTCCCATTTAAATAGTTTTTTTTTATGGCAGGAGAACATATGCCCCAAACCCGCGAGCATTTCTCTATCATTTCCATTTTAAACCAGCAGCAATCTCCTGCATAAAAGCGACAGTAAGGGGCTGTTTTCTTCCCAGACTAAAGCAAGTAAAGCCCATTTCATATGAAACTTCTGTGACCTGCTCCTACAGCTTCACCTAGATTCCTCCAGCAGGATAATAAATATATACCCTGATTTCCATTTACTCCAGGCTCTTTGTATGACATCTGGCTTCAAGATGGTGGCACTGAGAACTGCAGTAATGACACAGGAAAACAGAAGGGGAAAAAAAAAAAAATAATTGTGCAGTGGAAAGCAGGAGGCAGTGGAGAGAGCAGGGAAAACCAAAATTAAAGTCAAAGGGCGGAAATTCCTTTGAGAAGGCCTTAGGCTTCAACAAAGCTTGTCGACATTTGCAGCACTTCAAGATTACCCAATACTAACCTTATGTGGGAAGGGACAGGAGTCCTCAGCAGGCATTCCAGAGGAGCCTTTCCATTCAAAAAAAGTCTTTAAACGTACCCATCCAAATGTGCAAGTAGGTGACGGGATGGAGAGGGTTAGGTTCTGTCTCTCCACACTCACAAGAACTCCCTCACCCACCTCTTCCTTACAATCTGAAAAGCAAAGTCAATGCTTTCCTCATTATTTTCTCTTTGCTGCATACCTCTCCCCCACTGTGACTGCTATTTGACCTGTTGTCCGCCGAGAGACCCTGAGGGAAGGAGAGAGGGAAGTTTGCGTGCACATGAGGAGTGAGATGGCCAGAGTCTCCGCTACATTCCGAGTTGTTTATATTCATTAGAAAGAAATTAACAGCACTTGGAATGTAAGAAAAGCTCTGAAGATAGGGAACAACCTTTATAAAGGGCAGGAAAAGAGCAGATTTATCTAAGGGACGGGATTTGGGGATGAGTGGGGAGTTCATTTCAATGTGCCACCCTGGATTTTACCTCACTTTTGCGTTAGGATGTCATCAGTGACCACAATCTTAGCATAAAGGTTTAATTTAAGGGGACACCGAGGGGTGCCCTCTTTCACCAAGCTGCTTGCTCTTGCATCTACAAGCCTGGCATGCCTGACTGATTAACGAGCAACTAGAAAGGATTAGAGTGCGTCAGGGGAGGTACGTATAATCCTCCCTTCCCCTCCCAAGCATCTCCTGATAAATATGGTACCTTCAGTATTCCTGGCAGATCCTGGAAGGGTTCTCCCCTCACTGCATTTGTGTTTTCAATGAACTGGGTTTCTTCTCGAACAACTGACAAAAAAATAAAGCTGAAAGCATCTATTAGGGCAGGCGTCAAAAATCACAGAGATCAAAGTTTCTTTTCATCCTCTCCAGAGAGCCTGAGACATTTAGGAATTCACAACAAAACTCCACGGTCAGAAACCTTCTCAACGCTGGCAGAGTGCTGCAGCGCGTATGCTCGGCGCTCAGAGGGAAAGCACTGACTCAGACGGGAGAGCTCCTCAAAACGCTCGTGCGGGCAGAAGGGCTTGCACCAATGGCCCTTTGGGTGATAACTTCCCCTCAGACTGTTCCAGAGGAGATATATCCACTGATTCGCAGTAAGGTTCAGCCCTTCAGATCTGAACGTTCACGTCACCGCACCTGAGTACTCGGTCTCCTTTCCACAGCTGTATTATCCCAAATACAGCTCACAGCTTTTCAGCTGAAACTCAGATCTCTTTTAGGAAATATTTCAGCATATGGGCTTTTTCCTTTCTAAATTTCTGTATAGAACCTCTTGGGCTACGAACAAACACAGCTTCTCCTGTCTACAGCTCGTTCCATTTGAATGTGCTGAGCTTTGACAAACTTAGGTAGTCAGAGTTACAACTTGCGAGGTAGGGAAACACTAGAAATATCTGCTTTGCAGGTCAGGGTGCCCCTTGAAACTATGCAGCTTGCCCCAGGTCACAGAGGACATGGATGGAAAAGCTTGAAATTCAAGTCAGGAGCCCTAAGTTCACTCCTCTACTTTAACCACGTGGCCTTCCTCGAGGCGCTTCATTCAGGTGTGCTCCAGTTCAGCTTGCTACCTTCCTGTGTTGCAATTATATGAATTCCTCTTTTAGTAGCGTTCCAATACGTTGCAACCACATTGCTACGCCTAGCGCTGCACACTGCATCTGGCACAGGAATGCGGCGTTGCTCTTACTAGGCTGTCAAAGAGAATATATCGTTACAAAAATAAATAATGTCTAGCTGCTTCTGGCACCTCCGTCCGAGCAGTATTTATCACTTTTGGCTGATCAGTGCCTGATTCGATGCCCTAAAAAACAACGGGTGTATTCCCAGTTGAATTCAACGTGCATTTAATCAGGTCTTTGCTAACTGTGCTTCCAAACTTCACATTTCATGAGCGCTACAGTACTGTCTCTTCTATTTTTAGAGCACATTCCGCTTACTTCACTCTGCAGATTGATACAAGGGATTTTCCTCTGCAGGGATTATGTCAGTGAATGTATGTTTGTACAAGCAGGCTCTAGTTTTAGTTCAACCCCAAAGCGATGCTGCCTACATGCATGGCAATCTGGGATTAATGCTAAAAATATATATATTTTATCATAAATGAACAAAAATATTCAGAAAGACAATTAAATTTCATAGATGAGTGCAGTGACAGAAAGAATCCTACACTATGCCAACTGCCTGCTCTTGTGACCAAGCACTCCTCGCCAGCCTTGGCAGGTGAAGTGAGACAGCGTTCTGGGGCCCAGCACAGCCCTTCCAGACACAAGTCCTGGGCGGCCTTTAACAAGGAAAGCATCGTTCCACCGTCTGCTCCTTCCCTGGTGTGAGTTGGGAACAGCTTCGTCAATGGATGTAAGGTGAAGGAAGCTTCCTGTAAATGTCCGTAACTTTTAGTTCTTTGAAGTATTTTTTACGTTCCCCCTTCAAAAAGCTGAAATGAAACCAGTAGCAGTTTGTAATTGCAGTTCCTCTGAGAAGAGGGGAAAAAGGATGGGGTGTGATGTGCTGCCTCGCAGCTGAGACAGCCTACAGACACTTCAGAAACAAAAATTACATCTTAAAACTATGAGTAGATTTAACAGTTGATCTCTAAAGAATTAAACATCATATAAACATTTCACACTTTTCTTTTTCCTTCCAAGGGTCCATAGTCTAGTCATTCAATCCTGTGCAAAGGTCATGTTACTATGGATATGCCCTGCAAGAAATGTGTTGCCTCAGAGCAGCGCAAGTCACATGAACAGGCTAAAAGCCAAGACTGCTGATTCACAGCCTTGTCAGGATTTTCATGCTTGTGTTGGTTTCGCTGAAGAACAGTCCTTGCCCCATCAAGTCTATGTTCGTCCTTTAAAAGTGTTCATGCAGGTGTAACTTCCAGAAAACTTGTGAATTTCTTCAAGTGCTGCCTGAGGGAGAATGCTGCAGGAGAAGCAGAAAGAAAATAAGCAGACCAGGCAAACCTTTTAGTCTATGCTAATTAGTGGATGCGTAAATATGCATTTATGTACACACATTCCGTACGCACGTTCTCAAAAATCAGCTCGTGAGAGCAAACAGACAAAACGTGTCCATACCCTGCTGTGAGTAGGGTAAAAGGAGAAAGTTATGTCAAGTCAAAAAAACCCAAAAAGGTCTGTAAAAACCACAATTTGGAAGATAACCATCACATTTCATCGCTCCCAAATATTGTGCGGAATCTTGCCCTCTGAAATACACCAACTGAAACCAAGTTCTCTGGCTGACTTGCCATCTTCTGTGCTAGGCACGTGGCCTCCTCCTCATGAGGTACGGATAGAGATCTAATTTCCTGGCAGCTACTGTAATTTTAACTGTCTTTAGTTCTTTCAGGATATGAAGTTATAACTGACTTTCCTTAGGGACTTTAAAACTCCTGTCCTAATCATACACAAAAATAGCTTCATTGCTTTAGCACAAGCGACAGTCTCCAAATGCAGCTGTGATGTACGTACCTTATCGTACAGAAATCCTACCCCATAGAAAGCCCGGAGTCCAAGGAGTGGCTTACTAAATCAGAATCAACTACACTCATACGTTAATTGTTAAGAAATTTCCTAGACATAAATACCAGTTCAGATCTCAGGAATCCAAATTTTGGGAGTGAAACTGATTTCATAAAAGGGTTATACACCTACAAAGGGAATCTCAAAGTTTTCTCCCTTTCGCTTCCATGAGCATCTTTCGTGGGAAGCTGTGGTTACAGGCAAACTGAGGGTTGCCTCGGTGGACAGACACGGAGGACTGGAAGCCAGTTTTGCCAAACTGGCTTGGCTATTGCTGGGCAAAGGAAACATTTACCTTTTTAGGATGACAAGAACATGCATTGTCCATGGAAGGAGCAGGAAAGCTTGATTCAGCTGAACGGCTTCTACTGTCCTCCTAGCCACTGTCTCTGGCTTGAGAGGAGGAAAAAGATTAGGGAACCTGAATAAATAAAGTAAAAAATAAAATAATTATTGTTAACCAAACTCCTCCTTTAAGATATCACTGTCCAAGTCCTGTCACGCACTGAGCTATCACTGGTTACTGGCATTCAAACATGCCCCCAAGCAGGCTGGAAGGAGCAGAAAGTTCTGGTTCCAGCTAGAAAGCTGGAAAGCAGGAAGCCCAGTTCCAACCAGTATGACTGGGTTAGCTAAATGGTTAAGAAAGTACATGTCGGTGCCTTTAGGGTGAAGTGGCAGAGAGTATTCAGAACCTTGAGCCAGGGATTCTCTTTAAACTGTACGCAAACCAATACCAACGTGCTGTCTGTTCAGCGTTGGTGTTTGTCCTCTTCCTCTCTGTTGTTCTTTGCTTGATTCAAATTCTTGACAGGTGAAAAGACAAACGTTTTCCCCCACTGCTTTTAGTAGCAAACATAAGGCTTTTCTCAGCCCCAGCAATAGTTTGACACTGCATATCTTCTTGTCTAAGAGAGCTCAAACTATATTAATAGGTTACTTTGTCCACCCTAAAAGATTAGTTTGGGCAGCTGTTAGTTTCTGAATTTATCTTGTTCTCTCCGAGGTCAAAAGGAGGTACTGGTAGCCTTACTTCAGCGGGTGGCTGTCATTCCTTTCAGTGGAAAAGATTTAAGTGTTTCAAAGAATAAAGGAGGAATCCCTACTGTTAATTCTCAAGTCATTTGTAGACTGCTCCTTTTGAATGGCCTCAATTTTCAGACCGCCTCCCCTCCCTCTCTGGTGGCTGCAAAGGGCCCAAGTACACTCAGGGCAAAACAGCTTTCCGCTTTCCGTGCAGAAGCAAATGTCTCCGTACAGACAGGCTGTACGAATACACCAGCAAACTGAGGGAACCAGTCGGATGAGTCCCAGGTGGCCTAGAGTGACCCTCTGTTCCCAGGCAGCCAAACGAGACATCAAATTCTCCTACCTAAATGAGGCATTAATTAGGAGTGTATTCTGATGATTCATTTAAAATGAGATGCTTTATTCTAGTTCCCCTGGACTGACCTGATTCTCATGCCCTGGAACATCTCTGTGCTGGTGTGGAAGGGCAGGACTGTGGTGGCATTCACTCCAGGGCAGTCTAGCAGCCCCAGGGTCAGGCTCTCCATAAAGGCAAAGGACGAGGCTTTGGAGGTGCAGTAGTCAATGGCCCCAGGGATGGCTGACAAGGCCAGGACAGAGTTCAGGCAAACAATGTGTCCATTCTGCAACTCCAGCATCCTTGGCAGGGAATCTGAAGAACAGAGTAAAAAACAAAAAAAGGTTTGCTCAGCAGAGATACACCAAAAACTAGAGACAGTGAAAAAAGTAGGGTGACACGGAGACAACAAGCCACGCTGTGTTGGGCATTACGCTAGGAAAGGAGTGGGAAGAGCACCTTGCTGCTTTATCATTTCCTGAAAGATTCCAAACAGGCCAAGTTTGTGCAGAAAAAGCCCCCAAAATCCTTCCTAGCACATAAGGAAGCAGTACCCACAGATAAAGGCCGTGAGCAGAACACTTGGCATGTTTAAGGACTTCTCGTAGAGGACAGTCCAACAAAGTGATGAAATCACAAAGCAGCTCTTTTTTATTATTACTATTATCTAATTCAAAATGGAATGAGTGCCACAGCAGTTTCCCTCCCTCAGCAATGCTGTCTCATCCTCCTCTGATGTTCCATACACATCACTGTAGAGAAAACCATCCTCTGGGAGCTCAGGCTTTCCCAACAGAAATCATGTGTTTCACTGGAAATCACAGAATGGAGACACAAAAGCATCAAAAACTGTGTTATTACTGGAAAAACGGGGGTTTTTTTAGACTTCTTTCCTCTGGCCTTTGTCCCTCACATTGTTTTTTCTGTCTCCTTTTCACGTCAGACCGATTTCACCAAGCACCATTTCGGAAGCCCTAGTAGCAGCCAAGTGTTTACTGCCCGTAATCTCTCACTCCCCGTTCTGAACAGATGTGACACAAGAGCTTATCTTACCCAGAACTGTCCCAGGGTGTTTATATGCTGCGATTTGAGCAGTGCGTCATCGTCGCTGTCCATCAGGCTCTTACCATGGACCACGGCAGCATTGTTCACCAGGATTGTGATATCACCCACCTGCAAAAGAAGCAGGTGACCTGTTAGAGCTGACCTCTCTCCCCACGAACCAGCAGTCACCATTATATCTGAATATCTACTCTTGCCTAAATACATTATTATTTTCATAGCTTTTGATGGTTTTGCCTATAGGCCTTGTAATCCTCCTGGGTCACTTGACTAGACTCCGTACAACACAATCTGGATTGTCACCCTTCTTTTCTCCCAATTTGCCAACGTATTTTTTTTTTATCTCATCAAATACGAGTCGTTACCAAGTTCCGCCCGCAGCGTTGCCACATCCACCAACCTTTTCCCGCACAGCTTTGGCTTGCCGATAGACCTCCTCTCGATTTCCCACATCACAGATGAAATAATGGCACTCTGTCCCCATCATCCTGATTTCCTCTGTGGTCTCCTTCAGGCATTTCTCAGTTCGACCCCACAGGATGATCTGCAGCCAGAAACTTTTGTTAGAGTCAAACTGCTTCTGCTTCAAATCTAAAATAATTAAAACATGCTTCTAAACTTCAACAACTTGATGAACATCTTTGATGTGTTTTCACTGCCAGCCCTGTTGCATTGTTTCGTTTTAGACTAACAATGATCTCCTATTACATGGGGATGGGACTCGAGCCCCATGGTGCTAGCTGTACCCCGCTGCTGATACTCTACTTACAAGTTCTTGACAAGGAATGCAATAGTTAACACAAGAAAATCAGTTCAAGAAACACTTGGCAAATGTTCTCCACCATGAAATTTCAAATCTATCCCTGCTTTTGCTATACACACACAAAGACAGATTAATTGTAAAATCACAGACCTTCCTGTACATCTGATATGTTACCTACTCTTGTTCTACACTTGGAGATAGCATCTGCTCTGCAGTAAAACACATTTTTTCAGCATATCATATATCATTTCATCTCTCTGTTACCCAAGACATCAACATATGAATCAATCTATCCTTTTTGCTCTTCAAGCTGTCTTCCCAGCATCATATTATAAATGGTGAGTCACTTGCCATTCTGCAAGAAATAAATTCCTGATTGGAGCAGGTTACCGAGATCAGGTGACTGCTCTGCGAGTCAAACAGCAAGGCCCAAAAGAGAGAAGAGAAAGGTTGCTGCTGCTCACGACTGCAGTGGTGAGCATCGATAATGCAAAACTATTTAGTACTAAAAAACCAATAGAGGCCATTCAGATAGTCAGGTTTACTCTGCTCAGGGGACTGGGAAAATGGGCTCTGCAGCTGGAAACAGCTTTGCTGCTCTCAGAACGGTGCTATTTCCTAGCAGCGGCCTTGTCACCTGTGATCCAGGGTTACAGTAACTTCCTCTACCACTATCTACTGCGTATGAATCTGACTGGTTTGTTTATTTTTAATGGTTAAAAATGAGCACAATTAAACTTTAAAGGTTTAATAATCTTTGAGCTTTCCAAAAGCTAAAAGATCAGGGAAAACCAGTCTAAATTATATCACTCAACTAATTTAGCAACAGCAAGATAAACATAAAAATTTAGGACCTGCGGTATTCCCTCCCCACAACAAATCTCTTGCAGAGAGATTTAACATGCTTATTTTTAAGGTCTAGTTAAAGCTTATCTCATAACTGGTACTAAAACTAAGCTCTGGCAGGGTCAAAGAGCTCTTCCCGTGTGACTAAGCAAGGCTAAAATGCAGAAGGACCTGGGTCCTCAGCCATTTCCTAAATGGGTTAAACTTACAATTTATAAAGTATTGGCACATCTGTGAACATAACCACACACAGACTGATAGACTTACACGCTCAAAATCACCAAAAGACTAACAAGATGGTTAACCAGAAACTTCAGAGCACGAATAAATATGCCAGAGCCATTTCATGGGAAATCTTATCTCTGAGGAAGTAATTTTCAAGGAAAAAGCCATGCTCAGACTTAAAAACCGTAAGAAAGCAAACGGCTAAAAGCGTGGCTTGTGTACTGGCCTGTCTTCGAAGGTCTCAGCATATCGCTCTTGGCCATCAGGCTTTGGCATCTACACAAAGCTTGTAAAACCGATGGCTGTTTACTCGCTCCTGAACTCAGAGCTAGACTGGGTGATATTTCTTCTGCTTACTCTGCAGACTTGAAGGGAAATCAAGAACATGTGAGAAATTTCACAAGCTTTCAGGAAATGTTTACAAAATACTGCTCAGCTATAAGCATACACACTTGATCTCTTTCACAACCTACATTTCTGTGGAAAGGGGAAAAAGAAACCCACTACAAAACGTCAACCATAAGCATCAAGTTTGATGCTTACGACCCCCTTCCAGTACCTGAAGGGGCTACAAGGAAGCGGGGGGGGACTTTTTACAAGGGCCTGTAGTGACAGGACAAGGGGGAACAGGTTTAAATTGAAAGCGGGGGGTTTGGATTGGACATCAGGAAGAAATTCTGCACAGAGAGGGTGGGGAGTCACTGGGACAGGTTGCCCAGAGAAGCTGTGGATGCCCCATCCCTGGAAGTGTCCAAGGTCAGGCTGGATGAGGCTTGGAGCAACCTGGTCTAGTGAAAGGTGTCCCTGCCCATGGCAGGGGGGTTGGAACTGGGTGGACTTTAAGGTCCCTTCCAACCCAAACCATTCTATGATGCCCAGTGAGTTTGCCTCAGTGTGAACTCCAGCCTCTTGGCAGGACTGGATCAGTCACATGGAAACACTAAAAATCATCTGGCACGTTAAGAGTGATGGAAGGTAGGAGAGGAAGAGAGAAAGAAACAAGGAGTCAGACAAGGGAGTAATGCAAGGAACTGACCGCAGGTACCTAGCGCTCTAGGGCTGCACGCTGCTATTGCCAAACAACAAGCAGACCACTCACTCTTCACTTCAATCTGTTTCAAACATCCATACGGCCTCCCATTCCCAAGAGTTGCCACTGATGCACTGAATGTCAGGAAATACACATGGAAGAATAGTTAAGCAAAGGATGACCTGTCAAAGGAACATCTGTCTGTGATGCAACTCTTGGACATAACATTTTTTTATGCCCCAGCAGTTACTTTGGGACCCTTACTATCCTACAGGCAAGGCTTGCAAGGTGACCCCATTAAAATCTGGGCCATCTGGGAAAGACAGGATTTGCTGGTTATCCTGCTGACAGCATTAACTTCGTGACTGATTATTTTCCATGGGAAGTTTTCGCGTCCTTGATATTGCTCACACTCAGGTGAAGGCTTCAGCCTGCGTAAGAGAAAAGCAGTAAATAAAAGACCATTCTTTCACGAGAGGTGAAAGTTCCCAAACGACGCAGTGGGAAGTGAGGTTTCCTGCTGTCATTTCTGCTACTTTTTACAGATGGATAAAACTCAATACAACATGCTTTTGGTTCAAATTCAAGCTTGACTGCTCCTACAAGATCATATGAGACTTCCAATTTCTGTCTTACGTCTGGCCAAATTAAATTGGCACAGGCTTCCCTCCGGCCTCCCAGGATATCGGATCTCACAGAGACAGGACTTTCGCTTGCTGCATTAGCCTCACAGTCGAGGCTTCTGTTGCTCCTGAACTCTACAGCAGGCTTTGGCTTCGTGTTTCTGTGTAGGCAATGCTTCCCTCCGGGCTATACTTCTCCCTTCTTTTCTTGCTTGCAGCAGTTTCACCCACATTTTTCCAGGTCCTTATTCCACTATTGCTTCCTTTCTACAGACTTGCTCACCAGTCCTCACCTCCTGCAAACTCTGCAATTTGACAAGATGCTGTTTGGCACTCGTAGGTTGTGCTGTTTGTAACACCCTCACTCAGCCATTCAGCTGGAGAGCTTAAGAGTTGGGGATAATAGTGCATGTTCTCGGTGCTCCAGAAGAAAAACGTCTGCTCTCTGTTGAGCTGATGAATGGCTGTGGGCCTGGGTCTGCGTTTTGCTGGTGTCCTGTGAGCTGCAGTTAGCCTAAAGCTGCCTCGGTGGGCACTTTGCTTCCCTTTACACACAAGCATGTGGGGCACTCGCGGTTTACTCTTTGCTCAGCCAACATCAAGAATGGCATCATTTTGCTTTATCCTGCCCCAATTTGGATCTGAGGGCACAAGTCCAGATGTACAGTGTAGGAAATGGTCCGTTTTATTAGGGAGCACAACTTTCAAAACTTAGATGAGAGTCTCAGAGTCTGGTCTGTGTCCCTTTTCCTTTTCAAGTTTAACTCTGAATTGGCAACAAGCGTGTCCCACGTGGAGGCTAAGTCCTGAGGAATGACTCTTACAGACACAGAAGTTCCTGTCTGGGACAGAGGAAAACGCAGGGGAATAGAGGAAACCAGAGACACGGCGTTCCTTATTACAACAGCCTGCCAGGATGCTGCACAGCCACCCGTTCACCGTAATTTGACGGCGGAGAGAGGAATATTCCACTTGTGTTTTGGAGAAGTTCTTGGACAGACTGTTTTCCATGCTGGAAAAAATCCAGCCCCGATTTCTTCTCCCCCCTTCATCTCTCGTCATCCTGTCCTGCCTACCCCTCCCTCCTGCACTAGACACGCTCTCCTTTCAAAAAGTTACTGACCAGAAAATTGTCGAGGGCAACAGCCCAGCGAGGCGGTTAATCCCCGCTGCGGCAGGCCCGCTCCTGGAGGCTTCCTGCCCTGTGCTTACCTCTGGGTGACCCGAGTGCTGGCAGTCAGGGAGGCAGGTGGAATGTTAAAGCAATCGCCTGTGCTCCGGGCTGCTAGGAGAGGCGATGAGAGCAGGGTAGGAGTCCTCCTACCACTGGGCACAGGAAAGAAGAGATTTATGATGACAGGGGAACTTAACACGCCCTCCTCTTACTTAACTTTTAAAGTAGGTTAGGGCTGTGACATCACAGCTTAGTGCAGATTCTCCCAGGATTTATTCAGGAGCAGGTTTCTGCAAAACAAACCTTATCTCCAGATCTTCTCCTGTCTGGCGAGTCAGAGAACTCCTTATCTGGCCTCAGGAAAATCATTTCAGCTGGAGCGGCAGGCTCCGTGGGCACTTCATCCTCTGCTCCCAGAGGACTCCTGTAACTCTGGGCTTAATCTGCTAATGAGACATGCCCTGAGGTCGGAGGGGAATCAAGAGGAAGGTTTGTGCTGCTGTGGTACTAAGGCAAAACTTTCTAATAGAGCCCTGCGCTGGCTACTGACCCGAGGGTTTCAAACCTGATTTCTACTGTAACACAAGTGTGTAAGAGTTATGCTTTTCACCACCACAAAATCACATGAAGCCACTAATTTGTGTAAACTGGCCCAGATTGAAGCTGCTATCAACCACAATATACACAAGCAATCTATGCTTCCGCAGTCTAAGGTATGTTATTGGTGCAGGAGACGAGGTCAGAGCTAATTTTACATCATTTACAAGGCTATTTAACTTGTTCGGTCTGATTTTACTGCTAGTACAATTCAAGAACAGCAGCAGAGGAATGCTGCCCTTTTACATCGTCAATTAATTTGGCACTGTATCTTCAGCAAACCCGCTGTGCTAGACTTTATCCCTCCAGTGAACTTGACCAGTATTGGAAAGG